AACGAACACAGTTTCATACCTGATAGACTCTATGCTTGATTGTTCTTTTGTAAATAGAATGTAATTTTGTAGGTGATTTGTGAGGTAAGATGTTATATTTTCTATACTAGTACTTGTATACAATAGTATAGTATGTAAATTCACTATATGCAGTTACGTCAACCCATACTGCTTGGATGTTATATTGATATTATACTATACACCGTATATAATAGTATAGTATTGTATGTATACCGTATATGCAGTTACGTCAACCCATTTCAAACATTTTCATTGCTTGCTAACCACCTCTCCTTCTCCCTCTCCCTCAATCCCTCCCCTTCCCCCTCTCCCTCTCCCTCTCCCTCTCCCTCTCCCTATCCCTATCCCTCTCCCTCTCTTTGTATTGGAGTTCACTTTGGCGCCCACAAGCACATGTGTTTCTGGTGTCTTTTGTGTTTTCTTGTGCTTATACTACATCATATATATATATATATATATATTATAGTATAGTGTTGTTCATGGGGTCAGACAAGAACATGATACATAACGTTCTCATTCACGGTTAATGATGTCTGTGCATATACCTTGAGTTAATTGAATTGTCCATTATATACTAAATTACTTATAGTTTAGAATGAAGTCAACAATATCCAAACACGATGGAAGCAAAAGGGTCTTTATACATCGCCAATAAAAAAATGCCTAACTTTAATCCTTGGCGATGGGTAAAACGTGCGGCCTCGTCTGANGTTTAGAATGAAGTCAACAATATCCAAACACGATGGAAGCAAAAGGGTCTTTATACATCGCCAATAAAAAAATGCCTAACTTTAATCCTTGGCGATGGGTAAAACGTGCGGCCTCGTCTGACTATGTTATATGGTTTGTGGTATAGTATACTTTAATCATGTTCCTTAGAAAATGTGACGCGCATATATTCACGCGCACACAAGTGAAGGATAAAAATGTCAAGATTTGGTTCTAATTGTCACATCAACTATTTAGTGGTTAGATTCTTAATATTTTGAACTCTTATGGTTATTGAACAAAATCACCCTTTATTAAACGTGTCGATACGGCTCCATATCTACAGTTGATTGGTTTTTTTTTTTGGTATTCTATGTTTCGTATATATTAAATATGGTTCGGTTTGGTTCTTCAGGACAGCTTCGGTTACTTGGTGGTCGGTTTGGATGCTAACTAGTTTCAGATTGGATGGTTTTAGTTTTAGGCTTTTAGCTAGTTTCTCATTGGGCTTATTGAAAAGTGTTGTAGTTTTGTAAGGAAAATCATAGCAAAGCCCGTAACGTTTTCTACCTAAAAAACACTTTTTTCATGAGCAAGAAAAATGACATTTGTGTGCGAGTCTGAAAAGTCCATTAATGTTTTCTCATGGGGTTTGTGTTTCAACTTTCGAATTAAAAACAAAAATCGAATTTTTTATATATTCTTTCGGCTGATCCGGTCGATCCTGGAAAAAACACACATAACTACTATACCGTCTAATCCAAATTTAGAATATTTTCCAATGTCGGAAAGTAAATCGATCAGTTTTATAATCTACCATATAAACCATTTGGACAAAAATCCAAATCTAGATTAAGCAAGTAATGATAATTTAATTTCCCACAAATATACAATCTAGAACTGATGTGGATACACACCTATCTCAAAAAAATTGTTACTATACTACCACCATTTGATTGCGATTTATTAACAATTAGCAGATTAACTAGAAAAAATATACATGAAATCTTCATTATAGAATAAGTAAAACCGTCAACTGTGGAAGTGTTATACTATTAAAACTTTAAAAATTAATTACATACTATTCTATAGTCGAGTAATCTGGTGAAGAGATCCCATCAGAGACTTCATCTTCTAAGGCAACAAGCTACGGTAATATACGTTTTGGTGGTTTGACTTTTGTTGAAACATGGCTTCTTGAACTAACACTAACTATAGAGAAGAAGACAATGTCTCCTTCACAATTTCAGATCATGCTGTACCACAGTAAAGTGATACTCTCTAACATGACAAAACGTGAAACCCACCTCTTTATTATACAAAGGCCATGTTTACAAAAGAAAAAACCAACAAACATAAACACATACATTAGCACATACCTTGTCTCTGTCTCAAATCATTTTTTTCACTTTAACATCTCTTTGTTTTTTTGCTAGACAAACCAAGAGATGAGTGGGTCTGCATCGTTAGTAACCTTAAACCACAAAAATTCTCCAACCATGTAGGAAACTCCTGATCAGAATCACCAAGACTTGAAGATGCAAGTGGAGCTTGTAGATGTCAATGGTCTTCCGTGACTAACTAGGCGACGAAGTCACTGATGCTGGAGGCATTAGTCGTTACTACATAAGGCATGCGGAGTGGTGGGTTACCATGTGGATGCAAGATATGCTGAGATGGAGAAGAATAAACTAGAGGTTTATGTCTTGACGTAGTCGTTGAAGTAGTTGCTGATGCAGCGTGTGTCAGAGAGTGAACCAGGAGGCATGCGAAGTGGTAGAGACCATGTGAATGCAAGATGCTGAGCTGGCGTGGGATAAACTTGAGGAGCAAGTTTATACCGTGAAAAAAAGGCAAGAGATAAACTTGGAGAGCAAGTTTATGCCTTGAGGAATAAGTACAAATCCAAGAAAAGGAAAGTGTACTTATTAATATGGAAGTTGTCCATATATCCATGTTGCCTTGGAGACTAGGGTTTCAGGACGTGGAGATCACTATAAAAGAGCTATGGAGTCGTGTGTATTCCATAAGACACTTGGGGCTTTTANCGTGGAGATCACTATAAAAGAGCTATGGAGTCGTGTGTATTCCATAAGACACTTGGGGCTTTTATTATAGAGGAAGGGTGAAAATCCCTTAGGGTGTTCTTGGGTCGTGCTGAAGCAGATGCTGAAGCATACGACGATGGAGAGACAAGTTTGGGTAGATTAGGAATCTTTCAGTAGCAGCTGTTAGGGTGTTAACAGGCTGTGTAAAGCTGATAAGCAAGTCTTGTAATAGATTGTTTAAAGATGATTTCTAATAAAGCAAAGGTGTTGCTTGTATCTATTTTGTCTCTTGGTTTATCTTCTGCAGTACTATATTGTGGTGTCATCTTTGCACTTACAAGACTGTCCTCGGCGGCACCATAACCGCCATTTGAAACTCAAGAAAACTTCTTCTACTACTACTAATTCAGGGAACAAGGTCACCAAAGTGGTGGCTTTGTTCTTCCTCTCATTCCAAAGAAGAAGCAGAAGAAAGAGAAGATGATGCGGCTTAACGAACTAAGGAGCTTCTCTCATGCTGTCAGTGACCAGAAGAAGAAGAAAACCCCAAACGAAGAATCAAGCAAGAAGAAAGTTTCAACATCAAAACTCGCAATGTCTTGGCTACGTCAAGGGAAGGGTAACAACACGCACGAAGTCCCGCAAGATCATGATCCACGTAGAGACAGCACAAGCACATTCATTCCTTGATTTTTTTAAAATAATCAATTTAAAATCGGATATACGTGGAGTACTTATTGGTTTTAATGTACCTGTTATTGACATTGAGACAATACACTATAAAAGTATATTTATATTACACGATCCTTTATACCAGTTATTTACCTTATCGTTATGATAAAGAAACGTTGTACAAGATTGACGCATATAACGAATTTAAATCTATTATATTAAAAGAGAAGTCACAACCTTAACTTCATGTGTGATTTTTTTTAATTTTGGACTACCTACTAAAAATTGATCACATTTAATTTTCTTATCATTAATTATGTTATTTCTAATAGCACATTAATGTCCACATCTATACATTGAAACATCACATAAACGTCTCACAAGTCAAAAGCTTTAATCTTCCTTAGAACACCTTTAACTAACCTAAACCGTCTATGAATGGTATTGTCAAATCCCAAACCTCTCTGCAATTTTAACATCGACTCAGACAGAAGTGGTTCAGGTTTGTTTCATAGTGTATCTCCAAACGATATAGGAATTAGCAGATTCTGATTTGTGCTGCACACTCACATATGACACTCAAAAAGTAACAGAAATAAATTGGCCACATGGTATTATGCTATCAAGTGCGTTTGTGTGAGAATTACACACAACAATCCAATCGTAGATTAATTTATTGACAATCTATTGAGTTTATATTGCTGTTAGCCTTGAATTTGAACATATGAACATGTTTCTTCCATTAACAGTTACCTTACTTGATTGTTAGTCTTGAGCATGAACTCTTCCATTAACAGTTACCTTACTTGATTGTTAGTCTTGAGCATGAACATTTGTTAATACTTTTATACACGATAAACTAAACACAGTGAGCATTTGGAGAAGATAAACATGGTGCACTATTAACTTAAATATTAAAATCGACATAAAATAATTCATGTAAATTGAAATAACATATATATTCAGTAAATAATTTATTGTTCACTAAATGTCGTTTATTCATTTAAATAAAGATTTTTTGTCATACATTTAAAAGTCGAATAATTATATGCCAAGAATATCGTGATTATAACCATGTTTGAAAAACTAATTTGTTATAAGTAATTAAAATCATTTGCAGCTTACGCAAATATAATTTCTAAATGTGTTCCCAACAAAAAAAGTTATTGTTCAATGGAAATATTTTAAGAGATATATTTTTTTAAACCAAATATTTTGAGAGATTTATTGTTCACGAGAAGCCAATCAAAAATCATTGTTCAAGGAAAATTGTTTCAATAGAGTTGAGTCGATATTTTCTCAGCCAGAGTATAACCAGAATTGGAAAACTAATTTACTAAAATTAAATAAAATCTTTTCAAATCTTACCAGAAATTAGTGTATCATATATTTCCAACTCTCTTTTACCATTTTAAACAATCCATTCGAGTATAAACTAATAAATATCTTTAATTAGTTTGCCATTAAATCGATAAACATAAAATTATGGCTCAATAAAATCAATTCAAAAATATATTGTTTCCTAAACGTTCTACTTGCCTTTAAAGCTACGAATAACATACATTTAGGAACTGTATCCTCTATAAAATAAACTAGATTTTGAGCGCAGAAATTTTTTATGATTAAAAATTTATATAGTTGGGTTTTGTCTTAATTTAAAGAATATTTTTGATATAAAATCAGTTCACCAAAATTTGTGGTGATGATTGTTTTTCATTAGTTTTTAGTTTCAATTTTCATTAGTTTTTAGTTTCAATTTTCATTTTTAGATTTTGGTTTTTGGTTTTTAGTTTTTAAGTTTCTACTTTTCAGTTTCTGGTTTTGGTTTTTAATTTTTAAACTCGCTGAGTTAGTTTGAACTGATATTACCAACAAACAAATCTCAAATAATCGAACATCTAATTTAAAACTGAAAAGATGAAAACAAATTTAAAAAAAAATTGAAAATAGTTTATTTTGTAAATAAACAAAGAAAAAAAAATATAATATGTGTTTTCAGCTTTTGGTTTTGGATTTTAGTTTTTAGATTTTGTTTTTGGTTTTTCTTTACATTTTTTTAATCAGTAAATTATTTAAGAAAAATAAAAGAATAAATTATTTAAAATTTATAATTGAAATTTATCAAAACAAAGTGATTGTTATTTAAAATGAAAAAATATATTAACATGTTTTAAAGTACATGATTTAAACAAATGATTAATAATAGATAATTTTGTTTTGTTAAAAATATTAAATACCTTTCGGGTCTGAAAATAATAATTGATTTTTTGATCTTTTAAGGTGAAAATTTTATTCAATGTTTTTTGGAGTATCATTCTCTTCCATATCACAAATCGACCACAAAAAAATGTCAACCAATAAAAAGTGTATCTCTGCTTAACAAAATCTTATATATTGAAACAAAAATCATGACTTTGATTCATGTGTTTTTTTTTAAAAAAGGACCATCACTAGAAACTTTTACAATATGTATTTCATTAAGACTAATAATATATATAATCTTTAAAATACTTTAATCACAATATTTTTTATATCTTTTCATTTTAAATATAAATATATTTATTTAAATCTATTTTAAATGACTTTTATAAGATCTTCATTTTTAATATTTTCTTTAAATATTTTCACTAATTTTGAAATTAGTATTATATAATAAATTCTTACCAAAATATTAGATTTTATTTTTGAACATAAATCTTTTATACTTACGAAAATAAAATATAAAAAATTATCAATTTAATACCATTGTATTATATTTAGTTTAATATAATAATTTTCTTTTAAAATGATTGATTAAGATTATTTAATAGATAATATGATATAGTTTATTATTAAAGCTAACTATATAAATATATAATAAGAAGTGACAAATACATACGGTTTTTAACAGTTAATTAATATAACAAGTAAATTAAAAATTATTGTATTTGAAATAGTTGTATAAACATTTAATTAATGATTAACGTTAAAAATATATACCACTTATTTTCTAAAACAAATATTTATTTATATAAAAGTGAAAACAAACACCCGCGCGGTTGCGCGGGTCAAAATCTAGTTAATAATTAAGAATCAAGAAAAGATTTTTAAATTTCAAGAATCCGAAATCATTTTAATATCAGAAGAGAAGATAGACATATATCCTATAACTACAAGAACGGACCATTTGCTTCATTCCCTACATACCTACGCGTAGGCAACTCAACTCATCGAAACCAGTGAGAATTTTGATACACGATGAATTACTATCCTCCGACCAGTTCTTGGCAGCACCAACATTGATGTATGAGAACCTAAAAGGAGAGACAAAAAAAAGGAGAGAATAAAATGAATTTGAAAAGGTCAGAGCTTCTTTCTACCATCAAGGAGCAGAACAAGATTACTATTCATTTCAGTTTATTCGGTTAAAGAAGACCAGACTCTGAATTGCTTGACAAGGATTCTAAGAGCAACACAACATTACACTTGAAGCTAAGCGTTTAACATAATGCCTAGCAGTACTGAGAGAATAAGGGAAGAAATGTATTCAGCTAAACCCTAACTTCAAAGAAAAAACATGTATATAAACAACTTCTAACAAAGCAAGGTACTGTTATCACAATCAACAATTAAAATGTCAAGCACTATAAAAAAAAAACTCCAGATATTTCAATGTATAAACAAAGAAACTACCAATATTGAGGTTAGAAGAATGTCGAGAGGAAGAAAAATCATACTCTTTGGAGAAACTACCAATACGACAAAAGCATGTTTGAGAAATATAAAAACTTTTCCGAACTTCAATTTGCTAACCGGGTTTGGGTCCTTAGTGGGCCGAAAAGAAAGCTAAATTACTCTTAATGGGCCAGTTTATACGAGGTTTTCGAGTTAAATATACATTGTGCATTTCTAGAACTCCTTGATATCACCGGTACTTCCTGTCTCTCTCACAGTCAATGCCAGCAGAACATCTGTTTCTGTTCAGCTTTTGTCCACATACTATTCATCATATTTCGATCATTACAATTAAGTACTCTCTGTTACATAATATAAAATCATTTTAGATTTTTTTTTTCAAAAATATATATAGTTTTGACATTTCAATGTTTGCATTTATCAAATATTGTTCTAAATTATGTAAATTTCTGAATTCATATATTAAATGATACTTTCAAAGAAGTTATAACTTTCTTAATGTCAAATGGTTTTCAGCTATTGACAGACTTTTCAAGCATTACATTTTCATCTATTGTTATTTTTTCTCACAATTAACCCTAAACTTCCTTCTGTGTTTTTCTTACTAAAATTTGGTGTAGTTTTCTTTCGAATTTCTCTTACAATTTGAGGAAATATATAAGAATTTGAGAAAAGGAATTGATGGATCAATCTTTTTGATATATATTTAAAATGTTTCACATTTTCCTCAGCTTTACTTTAAATAAAACAACACTGAGAATTTTCCGAAGATTGCAAAAAAAAAAGGAGATGATCAAACCGGTGTGATAGGTAACAAGGTTCAAGCCTCCAAAAAACCGGTTAACCTGAGAACCGAGTTACGAACACGGCTCAGGTCTCTCCCCTTAAGAGTCCTTCCACTACCTGAACAAACTGAAAACGCCATTTGTCCTCCTTCTCCTTGAATCCTCCGTCCAACCATGACATGCGGCGGAACGATCTCTCCTCTTCCATCGTTATACTCCTCCTCCACCTCTTTCCCTACGTACTTACCAAACATATTCTCCGGTAACACCACCGCCTTCTCCTGGCTCTTGATGTTCCGCCTTGTCTTGTTCCTCTCCTTGAAACCAAACAGATGATTCTTGTCGTCTCTCTGATGAACATAGCTTAAATCTTCGGAGAATACAACCTCAGCTTCATCGAATTCCTCAGCCATTTATAAGGCTGGAGACGATTAAAGATTGAATAATCTTGAAGCAAGATTGATTTAATCTCTGTAGGAGAAGAAGAAGGGAAACGTAGAGAGAGTCTTGAGAAGAAGTTGAAGTTTTGTGTGTTGATGTGTGTGTTTAACTGTTTATGAAATATCAGATGATGTCATGATAGTGGCATAGAGTGCAGACCCCGCTTTTCTTTCGATTACATTTTGGACCACTTTTTGATATATACAAATCAAAATGATTTTTATCAAATGCCGTATTGTCATAAATTGTTGAATTTTTTAAAAATAAAAAAATTGATGTATACAGTAAATTGCCTTTTGGACCACCTTCATACTTACAAATTAAATTGAAACCTTTCATGGTATTATCATAGATACAAAGTGATATATACAGTTAAAATGACTTCTTAGGACCACTTTGATATATACAAATAAAAATGCTTTTTTTATGATATGGACATGTCTTATACGTGTCTGGGAATTGAGGAATCTAGTTGGATCGTCTTCCTTTTGGTCACCATAAGTTTTTTTTTTTTTTTGTTCGAAAAAAAGTTACAACTTTTGTAACTGTTTTATAACCATGAATTTACTCCTTTAACATTTTTATTCCATAATGCCTGCATATTATTTTAATTACTATATTTGGGAGTTTATATATGCACACTCTCACACACAATATTTTAGATAGATCTAGAGTTTTATATGAGCGTTCAATATTTATATGAAACATCATAGTCATGATAAAGTGGGTCTCAAACAAGTTGGATTTTTTTTTCTTTTCCATTATATGAAATGTTATATTTTAATTAGGATTGTTAACAATACAATCCAACTAGTAGTTAAACGTGTCATAAAATGGGAAACTGATTAAATATTTTGTAATTGTATATATCTCAGTAATATCACTTTTAATTTTAACTTTATAAGTATTGGTGTATGTTGTAGAAAATACTACCCATTTTAAAAATATTTGATTAGATTTTTTTTTACAACAATAGTTGACTAGATACAATTCTAGTTTCTTGGTTTAAGAGAAATAATTTAAAACAAACTTCTAACACTTTATATCCATTAGAAAGTAATAACACTCGTAAACAAAAATATGCAAACTTAAAATATAACGTGAAAACAAGTGAATTTGTCATATTTCGTAACTTGTTCCTCATGACTCTTCTCATGCATGCATTGCATGGTTTACAAATGTTTAAATGAATTTGGCCCCCCCCAAAGTTATGTTTCAGGAACTAGATTTTAATAAATGGGAATCTTGGTACGATTATGACTCAGTTTGAGGACTTTCAGTCTTACCTGAACTAGACCCAGTCATGGTTTCAGTCTTACCAGAACCAGATGTCCAGAACAAACATGGTTTTAAAATTTTGGAGTATCTTAGAATCGAAACTTTGCTAACACCAGAAAATGGACTGTTGTATCGGGATTGGGGACAGAACGTGACAAGTAACTGCAGATTAACACAAAATTACATGGTCCAGCCAGTTAAAATTATGAAAGGAAGCAAATAAATAAAATAAATTTTCAGTTTGTTAGAATCTATCAGGATTTGAAATTGTACAAACCTAAACCAAGCATTAATCTCGTTACTCCTTCTCTTTCAGTATGTGGATCTTCTACACTATTAGATGTAGAAAAACAAGTATATGGTAATATGCCTTCGAATAATATAAATCCATTTATTAACATGGATACGAGGTTCTGCTCGTTTCACTTTTCTAATGAGAACCTCAAGCAAGTTTTTTTTTTTAATTGTGACTTAGTTTCGCGCAGCAGGTGAATCGAACCTGAAACATGTTAATGTCTCAGTCTTGTCTCCTTATCATTCGACCACAATCACCCAGTAAAAGAACCTCAAGTAAGTTTCGCGAAATTTCATAACTTATCGAAGAAGAACTTTTATGAAAGCGTTTAAACGAACGACGAGGGAATGATATTTTGATTATATTCATATAGAATCTAGAGATCAAGCTACAATGACTAACTTTTTCTTTTTGACAAAAAGCTACGATGACTAACTTGCAATACATTAAAGTTGTAGGAAATAATTGCAATAACAAAATCATTAATGCGAAATAGAACATGAAAACATGAAACTGCAAATATAACTACACTATCTTATACTCCTTTTGTTTCATTGTAAATGTCATTTTGACAATTTTCACGAAGATTAAAAAATTTGTATCATACATTAATATATATATGTATGTAATGCATGAAAAAATAAATAAAAATAATTTAAATAAAAATCTATTGATTATTTAAAAAAAAAGTAAAAGATGAATTTAATATAAAAATACATTAAAACTGTAGAATGATTTTTTTAAGAAAAAAAACAAATCTAAAGTGACATTCTTTATAAAACACATAGAGCACATAGTACTGTCATAAAGTATAGATAATCAGTTGAGTTTTATATGATTCAGATTATTATTTAATGAATATTATTAGCCATATAGGTTTGAACCTACGAGTAACGAATATCTTCAAAACTTGATTTTCAGATTCTTATTGTGTCCTATAAACTAATGTTAATGGTTGTGATAAGATATGTAAAATTTTCCTTTGTATTTGGTACAAATATAAAACCATGAAAACGTATTACATGCAGAGAAGAAAACCACATGATCACATGAATAAGATCGGGGAAATATTAAAAAAAATTGTGTGTTTAAAAATAAATATTTGTTAGTAGTTTGATCGTGCTCTGCTGTTGAAAGATTTGCTGATCTAGTTTGTTGTCAGCGATTCTACCAGATTTGTTCAAACCACAAGTTCATATGCCAAAAGGCCTAAAACAATTATTGTTTTGAAGTCACGTTTTTATTAAACTCATGTGTATAAATTAATTATATAACTCATTCTTTCGGTTGGCTATTGTCTTTAGAAAAAGCTTGTTTCTTGCTGGTTTAGTTCCTGGGTGTCCTTGTGACTCGCCGCCGGCTATGTAAATCCTTGTTATCATCAATGATATCAATCACATTCAGTGTGACAAAAAAAACTCATTTATTTATTTTCATTGTTAAATATTTTTACTCGTACTTTCTATAGATAATTTGAGTAGTGTGACTTTCTCGCTTCACACAATCGACTTTTCGGGTAGAGTTTGAGTGGCTTTGGTTCAGCTTCTTTTTGGATTTGATATCGCGTTACTTGGTTTAGAAAATTAAAAATTTGAGAAATAAAATGTGATTTATGTGGTCTACATTTTGCTCCTTATTTGTGTAGATTATCTGGGTGGGTGCATTCAGTCTGAAATTTAGAATACTTTAATTTATATCAAAATAACAAATGTTATGATACTCAAACATGATATCTTTTAAAAACTAAAATAAAATTCAGTGTTGTTAAATTTAATTTTCAAATTTCTTATTATTAGAAAGATAAGTAGTGGATTTAATGAATTTTGTAAGATTTGTTGTATTTTAACTTTAAGGTGGTGAAATCTTTTAGTTAAAATTGAAGAAATCTTTTGGTTAAAAATATAAAAAAAAAAAAACATTCATGATTTCAGATAAGATTATAGTGTATTTTAGATACGATTCTACTGTATTTAAGCTAAAATAATATCAGTTTCTTAATGAATGAAATCATTCTAAAATGTTTTTAAATACTATATATATATATACACCTTTGAACTCTTAAATACAATATTCACTATTCAGTAAGTCCTTTTATATTATCCTGCTTTTTAACGATTAAATTTGGTGTGATTTACCGTAATGCAACTCCAATCAAAACTCGTTTTGTGTTTACTGTTTGGGGCTATCCTGTTTAATTTGACGGAGCCAAACCAATTAAGAATAATATATACAAACTTTTAAATTTTATAGTTGACTTTATTTTCATTATAAGACAACATAACCTCATGTTGATCAATGCAGAGAAAAAAAAAACGAGACACAAATGGAGATCGCAAACACAAAATGGGTAGCTGCAGCGGCGAGCATATGGATACAAAGCTTCAGCGGAGCAAGCTACACTTTTGGAATCTATTCTTCTCTTCTCAAATCATCTCAATCTTACGACCAATCTACCCTTGACACTGTCTCCGTCTGCAAAGACATTGGTGCAAACGTAGGCATCCTCTCTGGTCTTTTCTACACAGCCGTTGCAAGCGGCAGAAGCGGTAACGGTCGTTTTTTTAGTGGACCATGGGTGGTTATATTTGTTGGCCTGCTTCAATGGTTCTTGGGGTATGGTTTCATATGGATGGCTACATCTGGTGTGATTGAACGTCCTCCTGTGGCTGTGATGTGTTTCTTCATGTTCTTGGCCGGTCATTGTCAGCCGTTCTTTAATACGGCCATTGTGGTCACTGCCGTACGTAACTTCTCCGACTATGGTGGAACCGCCGTCGGTATTATGAAGGTAGGAAAATTATCTAGTTTTAAGACTAGATTGATAAAATAATATCAAATGGTAATATATAAATAGTTTTTTGAAAATATCAATTGGTATATTAATTACTAAAGCATGATATTGAACAGGTATGCTGATTTTATTATATAGAAAAACCATATGTAAAACGAAAAATATAGAACTTTTCGTTCCTTGTTAAATATTAACTTTTTGAACTTTATAAAATATTTACTGGCTGGAGAAAAGGACATAGTAGATATATTATATTGAAATGATGATATTTCTAGGACCCTATCTATTTTCATATATCTATGTAGTTACATATTTTAACTAGTGAAAGTCGGTACTTGACATTAATCTATTATATTAAAAGAGAAGTCATGACTCACTTCATGTGTGATATTTTAGTTTGGACCATCTTTAGAATTTTATAAAATTTTACATAACATTATAATATCTTTTCATATCTTTAATTTTTGTTTGAAATACAAATAAATAATTTTAAGAAATTCTAACAAAGTATTTTAAAAATCTTTTAGAATCCTTTTCAAGATATAATTGCAAAAATTATTTGATTAAAATTTGAATTATCGTAAAATATAATTACAATTTTAATTCATTTTTTATTTATAAGAAGAAACTAAAATTATGTAAAATATTTTTGACAATATCCCAAAATTTTGTTTATGTATTATGTAGGTTCAACTTTATTTAATTTTTACATAGATTTCAAATTTATAAATAAAACAAAATATATAAATTAGTAATGTTACATAGTAATGTTTTTTAAAAATTGTTACAAAAATAAAAATTTATAAATTTTATATTAATAATATTATAAGTCACATAAAAATTATTATAAAATTAGATAGCATATAGAAGTTGGATTGAATCACATTATACTTATTTATTGATAAATTTTATTACATAGTTTCAAATATTTTCGTATTAAAATACCCGCACGGTTGTGCGGATCGAAATCTAGTTAATTGATTAAAATTAAAGGAAAGCTAATAAAATGATTGGACCACAAGATTTTTAATACTCTAATTAAAAATATATATAGTAATTACTATGATAATTTTTGTAGCCCTTAAGCAAAATGAATCAACTAATAATGTGATGTTTTGTCTAATAAATATCTAGGGTTATCTCGGGCTAAGTGGAGCAGTTCTTGTTCAAATGTACCACATCTTTTGTGAAGGTGACCCGACGAATTACCTTCTTCTCTTAGCCGTAGTACCATCACTTCTCATCTTGACGACAATGCCCTTCGTTAGAACGTACGACACAGTCATCGCTGGCGACAAGAAACACTTGAATGGTCTCTCCACCATCTCCTTGATCATCGTCACATATCTTATGGTCGTAGTATTGGTTGAAAATATAATCGGAATGTCAATGGTCATGAAGATATGCTCTTTCACTCTTTTAGTTTTCTTGCTGGCCTCTCCTCTCTTGGTCGCGGTTAGAGCACATCGTGAAGAGAAACATAGATTCATGTCTTTGGATTTTCCGGTTACCGAGAAAACTACCTTGCTTGACGATCCTAAGCTCAACCCTTCTCCCGGTAAAGTTTAGCTGCTTTGGTCCCTTGATTATACTTAACGAAGTGATATTCTCTAACACATTTAAATTATTCAACAGATGTTAATGCTGACATATCAAATGACATGGACGTCCTCGAAGCAATACGCACAACCAACTTCTGGCTGCTATTCTCGGCGATGTTATGTGGAATGGGTTCAGGGCTCGCGACAGTAAACAACATCAGACAAGTGGGCGAGTCACTTAGCTACTCTACGGTTCAACTCAACTCTCTTGTCTCTCTTTGGAGCATATGGAACTTCCTAGGCCGGTTTGGGTCAGGTTACATATCAGACGCTTTTCTACATAGTCATGGCTGGCCAAGACCGGTTTTCATGGCAATCACTCTAGCCCTCATGGCTATAGGCCACGTTGTCATGGCCTCCGGTTTACTAGGAAGCCTATATATAGGTTCCTTATTGGTTGGTTTAGCGTACGGCTCACAGTGGGCGCTCATGCCAACTATAACGTCTGAAATATTCGGGATTCGTCATATGGGAACTATATTTTATACAATTTCGATAGCTAGTCCTATTGGTTCTTACTTTTTCTCAGTGAAGGTTATGGGATACTTGTACGACCAGGTAGCTTCTTTGGATGATCATTCTTGTTATGGGAATCATTGTTTTAGTACTTCGTTTGTGATAATGGCGGTTATGGCAATGCTTGGGTCACTTGTTGCTTTTGTGTTGTTCCTACGTACAAAGAAGTTTTATGCAACTCTTGTGGCCAAGAGGATCTTGAAGTAATTCTTGAAGCTAGGGTCTGGCTTGTGTGGCTCCCTATTTTTTTTGTCTGTTTTTTTTGGCATTTTCCTCACATTTTGAAGATCATATATATTGTTTGTATAATGTAGAAAGTGTGTGTTGTGGATTGTTTGAAAGGAAATTGGATCAATTATTTAAATCCCACCTCAGATATTCATGCATAATAAAATAATAATCAGGTGTTCATATAAAACATATTACCAAAGTATTTATAAAAATGTACTATCTCTATTTCATTATTTAGATAGTTTTAGTTGAATAACTTGAATGCACAAGGATTTTTTTTTTTTTTTTTTAAAGCAGCATTTGATATATTAGTTAGGTATAATAAAAACCAATCATAAATGAGTATATCTTAGATTAGTCATACTAAACCCAATAAAAATAAAACTTATTTAAAAATATGAAAATTAGTTATATTTTGAAACAAACATTTTTTTCTTAAACTAATTATAATACGAAACAAATGGAGTATAAAAAGTACTTACCAAAGTGAAAGGTCAGTGTTGAATAACAATGTTACTTACTTTAATCACAATCGACTCATTTCTCAGAAATATAATATATAATTAATTGTAAGGATCAAAATGTAAATAAAAAAGATGAAACTTTAAATTTGAAGTTTTAAGAATTGAAACTTCAAATATGAAGGTTCACTCCTCAAAACTTCAAATTTGAAGTTTTGAAGTTTCTTTTTGGAGAACCAAAAACTTTATATTTGGTGTTATAGAGTGTCTTTTTGAGATGCTCTTAATAACACCCATTCAACTGATTCACCAATATTTTTGCGTAAATGTGAATCAAGATAATATCTTAGTTAAATATGTGTCTCTTAATGCTTGTTATACAATAATCAGGCCTGACAAGAATACAACTCATTCTGTTAACTAATAAACGTGTTTAAAGCCAGCAGCTCAAGACTAATTAATACTACCGTTTAAATCTCTCAAGAGCAGCACAGTATAAAGTATAAACTACTAAAAAAGGCATTAAATCTTTAATCATTTTTTTAAACTCAGTCACAATGTCAAAAGAGCCATCAAAGACTTCTTCCCTTTTCATCATCTTCCAACTTCTTACATAATCATAGCTGAGATTTCACCAAGATCGACAGGAAGAGAGACATGGAGAGAGTAAACACGAAGTGGGTCGCAGCAGCAGCTAGCATATGGATTCAAAGCTTCAGCGGAGCGACATACACCTTCGCTATCTACTCTTCTATCCTCAAGTCATCTCAATCTTATGACCAATCTACCCTCGACTTCGTCTCCGTCTTCAAAGACATCGGTGGTACTCTAGGCATCTTCTCTGGTCTCCTCTACACTGCCATGACTTCCACGCCGACCACTCAAGGTCGTGGTTGTCGTGGTGGGCCATGGGTTGTTGTGTTCGTTGGGTTGGTTCAGTGGTTTCTTGGATTCTTTTTCATGTGGGCTTCTGTGGTTGGTTTGATTCCTAAGCCCCCTGTGGCTGTGATGTGCTTGTTCGTGTTCTTGTCTGGTCACTCGCTGCCGTTTTTCAACACGGCTAGTGTTGTAACCGCTGCTCGTAACTTCTCTGATTACGGTGGGACTGCTGTCGGAATTATGCAGGTAATAACAAGATTCTTATTTAAGGAAACTGAAACTCAACTCTGTATTCACAATTTCAGACATGATCTATCTTGTGTGTTCACTAGTTCTTGTCTGAAGATTCCTTGCAGCCTAAATTGTTTCAAACGCTATTTCTGCGTTTATCACATTTTTAATATAAACGTTTCCAACTTTTCATAAATTTTGATCATTTGCGTTTACAATTTGTAAAAGGTTTTTGCTTTAAGATGTTTAAAGTTGTGGTTTCATTGTAATTACTCTGTTTTTGATCCTGTGTGGTGTGGTACTCTGTTTTGCATTGAGATTACTCTGTTTTCACTTGAGTCTTTTGTTGTATACTCTCAGTTTATTGAATACATTGTCTTTGGCTTCAGGGGTTTCTAGGTCTAAGTGGAGCAATTCTGATTCAATTGTACCATGCTGTCTCCGGTGAAGGTAACCCTGCTACTTTCATCCTTCTCCTGGCTATAGTACCAACCCTTGTCATCTTCTTAACCATGCCCTTCGTAAGAGTCTATGAAACGGTCAGAACTAGTGACAAGAAACACTTGGATGGTCTCTCTATCATCTCTTTGATCATCGCCGCCTATCTTATGTTCATTATAACTGTCCAAAACGTTGTGGGTTTAACACGGTCCATGCAGATTCTCTCCTTCGTCCTTGTGATTTTATTGCTCGCTTCTCCTCTCTTGGTTGCTGTAAGAGCCCTCCGTGAAGAAAAGCAGACACTTATGGCCATGGATCATCCTGTTCTTGATACGTCCGTTTTGCTCATCTCTCCTAGTTCAAACATTTTCCCTGGTAATTGTCATAACATGATCATGCACTTGTAGTTAGCACACTGATTGTGACTATAACCTTTTGTGCAGATGGAGAAGATAATGTGGTTAGAGAAGACTCAAACATATTAGAAGCAATGAGCACAATAAACTTCTGGCTACTCTTCTTAGCAATGCTATGTGGGATGGGTTCAGGATTCGCGACAATAAACAACATTAGACAAATAGGAGAGTCACTTCGCTACTCTACGGTTCAGCTCAACTCTCTGGTCTCTCTCTGGAGCATATGGAACTTCCTAGGCCGGTTCGGAGCCGGTTACATCTCAGACACATTCTTACACAAACACAGCTGGCCAAGACCGGTCTTCATGGCGCTAACTCTAGGCGTTATGGCTGTAGGACACGTTGTAGTAGCCTCTGGTTTACAAGGCAGCCTCTATGTCGGTTCGGTTTTGATTGGTATGGCTTATGGTTCGCAATGGTCGCTCATGCCGACCATTACTTCAGAGATATTTGGGATCAGACATATGGGAACTATTTACTTTACTATTTCGATAGCTGGTCCTGTGGGATCGTATCTTCTTTCGGTGAAAGTGATAGGTTACTTTTATGACAAGGTAGCTTCTGAGGTTGATAATTCTTGCTTTGGAAGTCAGTGTTTTAGGACGTCGTTTGTGATCATGGCGTGTGTTGCTCTCTTTGGCTCTTTGGTTGCTTTTGTTTTGTTGTTCCGCACAAAAAAGTTTTATAAAAAGCTTGTTGCTAAGAGGAGCTTGAAGTAGTTTGCAAATTGAATTGTGTTTTATTTTTTGTGTGGTTTGAAGTTTGAATAGTAAACATAAATATTACTATTTGTAAATTCAAAGAGATGCTACTAAACTGTACCAATGAATACAATGGTTATTTGTCATCCGGGAAAGGCCCAATTAAAGCCCACCACCTAAACCGGCAACATATTAGGGAATCCTATTGTGATAAGGATTACCTATTGATAAGTCCTATTATGTTAACGTTTACTTATATCTTAGAGATAAATACGAGTAGAAGTAGGAGTTTATAGTCGGTGGTTATTCATGTATATAAGCTGATGTAATACCTTCAAGCAATACAAGTTAAAAGTTTATTGTTCAATCTCTACTTTACATGGTATCAGAGCAGGGAGGTGAGAGAGATGGGTCTTGAAGAGTAACAGCATTGTATGTGACATAGTCCTTGAGCTTTACCGATGGAACTTTTACCCGTTGACCACGTCCAGATGTTTCACATGAAACTGGATTATTTATAGCCTCTGTAGCCACTGGGACAACTTCTGAGATATTCCGAGTTGTCGTTGTTGTATCCGGTTGAGTAGTAGAGGGTGATGTCTGATCTTGTATGGGAATAGACGTCTCTGTTTGAGAATTTTCACTAGAGGTTGAAGGTTGGTTACTAACCAACGAAGTACTCCCCCTGTTTTGAATGGGAAATATTCGTGTAATCTCCCAGTCATCATCTATTATAACTTGTGGAGGTAACTGATTTGTTGCTGGGACTGGTGACTGAGACGCAAACGGAAATTCTGTTTCTTTGAAGACAACATCACGTGAGATAAGAAACTCCTCTGTTTCCAGGTCAAATACTTTCCATCCTTTCTGAGTGAAAGGATACCCAACGAATACACATCTTCTACTTCTTGACCCGAATTTATCCTTGGATCTTGTCTTCATATGAACAAAACATAAACTCCCAAAAACTCTAAGATGCTCATACGATGGTTTGACTCCATATAATAACTCATAAGGAGATGCATTGTTGAGTACTGATGATGGTGTTCTATTGATGAGATGAGATGCTGTAAGTATGGCCTCTCCCCAAAATTTAATAGGCATATTTCCTTCAAATAATAATGATCTGGCCACATTGAGTATGTGTCTATGTTTCCTCTCAACCCGTCCGTTTTGCTGTGGAGTAGCTACACACGAAGTTTGATGGATGATACCTTTTTCACGAAAAAATCCAGCCAGACACATAAACTCTGTGCCGTTGTCACTGCGAACTGTCTTAACTTCTC